TGATGCGTGTTAGCATGCCACACGTGTATATCGTAATCCAAAAGTGGCTAAAGTGCCTCCTAACCTTAACCATGCGACCCCTAAGGGCCACAATGCTTTAGGTAATATAGCTCCACCAGACCGGGGATCTCTGTAATAATACTCCTGTAGTAGCACTCCATCTCCTCTGCCAGGTCACTTATGCCCTCAGATGGTAATACCCCCCTGGGATAATCACAAGGCCATAGAGAGGTAGACAAAGAGCCTCCATAGTGAAATGCCGTTTATTCCATATAGCAGATAAAAACAAACCAAAAGACAACACTCACAGTATAGCAGATCTCATCCAGCTGGTCTCCCATGTGCTGTGGGTGTACTGCAAGGTGCTGGGTGGGTGTTCAGGCAGAGCGGAGCTGTGAGGTCACTGCTGGCACGGGGATGGCACGGGCTGTGAGGTCACTTAGGCAGGCAGAGCGGAGCTGTGAGGTCACTGCTGGCACGGGGATCAGGCAGAGCGGAGCTGTGAGGTCACTGCTGGCACGGGGATCAGGCAGAGCGGAGCTGTGAGGTCACTGCTGCACGGGGATCAGGCAGAGCGGAGCTGTGAGGTCACTGCTGGCACGGGGATCAGGCAGAGCGGAGCTGTGAGGTCACTGCTGGCACGGGGATCAGGCAGAGCTGAGCAGACTGCTGGAGCAGAGCGGAGCTGTGAGGTCACTGCTGGCACGGGGATCAGGCAGAGCTGAGCTGTGAGGTCACTGCTGGGAGGGGGAGCAGGCAGAGCTGAGCTGTGAGGTCACTGCTGGGAGGGGGAGCAGGCAGAGTTGAGCTGTGAGGTCACTGCTGGGAGGTGGGAGCAGGCAGAGCTTGAGCTGTGAGGTCACTGCTGGGAGGTGGAGCAGGCAGAGCTGAGCTGTGAGGTCACTGCTGGGAGGTGGAGCAGAGCTGAGCTGTGAGGTCACTGCTGGGAGGTGGATCAGGCAGAGCTGAGCTGTGAGGTCACTGTTGGGAGACGGATCAGGCAGAGCTGAGCTGTGAGGTCACTGCTGGCAGGGGGATCAGGCAAAGCTGAGCTATGAGCTCACTGCTGGCAGGGGGAGCAGGCAGAGGTGAGCTGTGAGGTCACTGATGGGAGGCAGATCAGGCAGAGCTGAGCTGTGAGGTCACTGCTGGGAGGAAGGAACAGGGGGAGCTGAGATGCTGAGCCACCGCTGCGATGGAGATGCAGGGGGAGCAGAGCTGCGGGGTCATCACTACGAGGAGGAACTAAGTGAGCTAAACTTCTCTGCCACTGCTGGGAGGGGGAGCAGGGGACAAGATACTGAGGCTCTGTCAGAAGTAGGGAGAAGGGGGAGCTAAAATGCTGAGTTATTGGGAGGGGGAGCTGAAGAAGCTGAGCTGCTTAGTCACTGCTGGGAGAGGTGAGCCAACCTGACTTAGACAAAGATGTAGTGCCTCTTCTGTGAACTGAGAGGATAAATTGCTCCATAGTGACTGATACTACAGAGATCAGTGAGTAATTGTTTTAAAGAATATTTGCTGCTTTTATACATATTTACCTTTAAATTGATTCAATAGGGAGCGCTTTTGTTGCCGTATCCCATTGATTAACAGGATATTACTTTTTATCATCTGGTGTAAAAGTTACACTATTCTATGCTAAGTAACTTCTATTCTACAATATGCCAGGCTGGCTTCGGAGGATCGCGTTCCGTGCATTGAGGTGCACCGAGTAGTGGATACATGTAAACCCTCACAATTTGATTTGCATCAGAAATGAGTCCCCAGAAAGTCTGAATAATAAAAGTCATTAATTTTGGGAAATTAAAATTCTGGTGCAAAGACCACACAAAGGGACTCATTAGCGTTTAATTGCTTATTTTGCTTGAAACAGGAAAGTCATTTTCAGGCTGGATGTGCACAGGCCGGGGAGAGATTGCTTTGTTTCACAGAAACTTTAAACAATTTAAAATTCAGAGAAAAAAATATATATAAATAATAGGAGCGAGGACTGCGTATTGAGAAAGTAGTGCAATAATAACGAGCAATTTATCTAAAGCTATTTTTGTAGATCTTCTGGTCTCACCACCCACTGAGTTAAATGATTTCATTCATAGCCCGAGCAAGACGTAAAGAAGTTTCATAAATCACCAACACATTATTATGTGGGTAATAAAAGAGATATTGATTCTGCTGATCCTGAAACTGTGCTTCTTCAAAGAACAACATATATACTCATGGGAGATACAAATGCATTATTAGCGTGGTTTCAAAGCTCTTAATCCCATAGAAAAAAAAAACAATTAGAAATGAGGGGCATCATAGTATGGGTGAAAAAGAACATGTCTTCATATCCACTCGACAGCCAGAGACATACCCGCACGTCGATGGACGTCAAGTGGTTATACCGAGATGATGCCTGCCGCCAGGATGTTTCTTTTTTTTTGGAGCCAATGGCCAGCTTTCTTTTAAAAGCAATCCTAGTGGCTAATTAGCTTTTGGCTTGCCCCCCCCCCCCCCCCCTCCCAGTTTTCTCAGGCTCTCCCGTCCAACCGAGAGACCCAGGCGACCAGCTGGCACTTCCGTCAGCTGACTATAGAAGTAATCAGAGACCGATACAGCCCCAATTGCCTTCATGGTATAGGAAACTGAAAGCTATGAACATTCATTACTTCCAGACTCCCGCACCACCTTCCGTGGTCCTCTCAGGCTCTCCCGTCCAACCGAGAGACCCAGGCGACCAGCTGGCACTTCCGCCAGCTGACTATAGAGGTAATCAGAGACCGATACAGCTCCAATTACCTCCATGGTATAGGAAACTGAAAGCTATGAACATTCATTACTTCCAGACTCCCGCACCACCTTCCATGGTTCTCTCAGGCTCTCTCGTCCCACTGAGAAGCCCAAGCGACCAGCGGCACTTCCGCCAGCTGACCATAGAGGTGATCATAGATCAGAGAAGCTCCAATCACCTCCATAGTATAGGAAACTGAAAGCTATGAGCATTCATTACTTCCAGACTCCCGCACCACCCTCCGTGGTTCTCTCAGGCTCTCACGAAAGACCCAAGCTGTGAGCTGTGCCGGTGGAGGATGTCATTCTGTGAGCTGTGCAGGTGGAGGATGTCATTCTGTGAGCTGTGCCGGTGGTGGATGTCATTCTGTGAGCTGTGCCGGTGGAGGATGTCATTCTGTGAGCTGTGCCGGTGGAGGATGTCATTCTTTGAGCTGTGCCGGTGGCGGATGTCATTCTGTGAGCTGTGCCGGTGGCGGATGTCATTCTGTGAGCTGTGCCGGATGTCATTCTATCCGCTGTGCCGGTGACGGATGTCATTCTATGCGCTGTGCCGGTGGCAAATGTCTATCTGTGAGCTGTGCTGGTGTGAGGTGTCATTCTGTGGGCTGTGCTGGTGAATGCTGGAACAGCTCTCCCTCTCTCTCTACCTCCCCCCCCCCCCCCCCCATCCATCACTATTCCATTACTGGCTCCAATTTGGATGTGGTGGGGGGGATTTTACTCTTGCCTAGGGCAGTATGAAACCAAAATACACCACTGAATAGACCCTTGAGAACAACAGATCCCCCAGCAACAATAGATCACCTCAGCAACAACAGACCCCTCCCCCCAGCAACAATAGATCACCTCAGCAACAAAAGACCTCTCCAGCAGCAACAGACCCCAACAGTAACAATGCCTCTGTAAGGGAATTCCCGTGAGACGGCTGGTGAATAGACGTTTTCATGTGCACAGAAGTGCACAATATTGCACGTGCACATGCACGGTGAAGATTGGCACCAAACGGACTATTTAAGAGGTGCCTCTGCCTGTGCTGAGTGCTGACTGGTCTTCAGCTGTTCCGTTTCCTGCTCGTTCCTGTGTGATTTCCTTGTTGCTGACCCGGCTTGTTCCCGACCTGACTCTTATTACTCTCCTGCTTGATACTGGTTCCTGACCTTGGCTCTTCCTCTGACTTTGGCTTGCTTATGATTTGGTACCTCGCTGTCCGCCCGTTGATGATCCTTGCTATTCCTTTGACACTGCTCCTGTCTCCCATCCCAGCTTCCTGCCTTGCTCTGGTGCACACCTGGCGACCCACCATACCAACTCTGCATATCACTACTGTTCCTGAATCGGAGGTTCACCAGTCTTCCAAAGTCTTCAACTGCAAGAGCTGCAAACAACTTCTGCTGGCGCTCTTGTCCCCCTGGTCCCTAGACACCCTCTGTTCCACTTTCAGTGGGGTCAGGGCTAGTGACACAAGTGAGGCCGACCTCGTCATTTCAGTCTCCAATCAGGTATGTGACAGCCTCGCAGCATCAATAGATTTACCCTAAGGATAATAGCCCCCCAACAACAGTAGAACTTCTAGTAGCCAGCATTATTAGACACTTCAGCAACCAACAACAATAGGTCCCTCCCTCAAGAGTAGATCCCTCACAGAAAAAGCTGGCATCCTCCATCATTTGACCCTTGAGCATGCCTTGCCATTACATACATTCAGTGCTGGAGGTGCCGGAACTATGTACCCCCACATTCCTGCTGAGAAAAAACCGCCCTGGTTATAGCACATATCTCATAAAATACCTATTTAATTATGGTGATACACTTCTGCAATTTAATGATCATTAATGCAATAAAAAGCACAGCTATGTCATTAATGTGACTGGATTACAAGAACATGTTAAAACCAAACAGATACATATTACAGGAATAAATTATTCCATACTGTGAAACAATGTTGCTATTCTGCCAGCAGCTATCTCTGTAGCCAGGTACTTGGCTACGATGAACTTACGAAGTTATGACAATTTGCAGCGGCTCTTATATATCACTCAACTGATATACTGATTCATCTCATTGCCTGCCTCCTGCCAGTAGGGGGAGCCAGGAAGTCAAGGAGCTCCACAGACTCCTATGCTGGCTCCAGTGGTATGTGGGAGATTAAGTTTAGGAAGGGACTTCTATTGACCGTTGAACTGCATTTCCCAGGGAGCGATTGCCAGAAGGAGGGGAAAGAGTTGCATTTTCTCAGGCTGTACAGGACACAGCTGCCTTTTGCTGTGAGGGAGTCCAAAACAGGGGCGGACTGACAACTCATGGGGCCCCCGGGCAATAGGGGATCATGGTGTCCCTGTGTCCTTGCCCAAACTCAAAAAAGCCTATGAAAAAGGTACCAGGGGCATATCATGGGGCCCCCTACTGACCCAGTGCCCGAGTTTCAGTCCACCCCTGGTCCAGAGAGTGCACATCACCGTCCAGTGTGCATAATGGTGGCATGAGCTGGATCCTGAGTGCTCAGTCCAGATGTGCCAACAGAGTCACCTAGGTGCAGAGCAGACTGTGGACCAATCACTGTGTGTGGCCAGATGATGGGTTGAAATATTGCTGCGACTGGCGAGCTGCTGCTGTGGGGATTTACTATCTGCTGATAGAGAAACCGAGCCCTTTAAGAACTGACCATGCAGCCATCTAGTATCCTTATTGCTTCCTGCAGGCTTTACTGGGACTATTCTGATGCACACCAACGGTACAACTGGGCCCCAAAGCTAACCAGTTGAAGAAATAAGACTAAAGACTATCCTTCAAGCCCCAAGTCCAATCTTTAACAAACTCGTGCAGACTCCACCTCCGCAACATCGCCAAAATCTGCACGTTCCTAACCCCAGAAACCACTAAACAGCTCAACCACTCCCTCATCATATCACGACTCGACTACTGCAACTCCCTCCTCACTGGCCTGCCTCGCCGCTGGCTATCCCCTCTTCAGTCCATCCTGAATACGGCTGCCAGACTCATTCACCTTTCCAACCGCTCCATCTCCGCCACCCCCCTCTGCAAATCCCTCCACTGGCCTCCTCTCAGTGTCCTCCACCCCCCTCTGCCAATCCCTCCACTGGCTTCCGATTGCGCAACGGATCAAATTCAAATCCTAACACTGACGTACAAAGCCGTCTACCATACTGCCCGAACTACATCACTGACCTAATATCCAAGTACCACCCAACACGCACACTCCGCTCCTCACAAGACCTCCTTCTCTCTAGTTCCCTGGTCTCCTCCTCCCACGCCCGCCTCCAGGACTTCTCCAGGGTGTCACCCATCCTCTGAAACTCCCTGCCCCAACCCATCAGATTATCACCTACTCTCCTCTCCTTTAGGCGCACCCTGAAAACCCATCTCTTCAGGGAAGGCTACCCTACCCCCTGCTAACTTGCCGACCTCCTCCACTCTTCCTACCACTCCATCCCCCACAGCTATCTCCTCCTGTGCCACCATCCCCTCCCTCCTAGATTGTAAGCTCCAAGGAGCAGGGCCCTCAATCCCCTCATGTTTTGCATTGTATTGGTATTGTTCTGTCTCATGTTCTGTCCCCCTCTGTAATGTACAGCGCTGAGCGAACTATTGGCGCTTTATAAATACTGTATAATAATAATAATAATAATAAAGCTTGCCCCTTTATAGCTGCTCCACAGAGATATTTATCTATTGTCTATGCTAAGAGGTACCTCTCAGGGGACAGTGCACCATATCCTAGCCATTCTCCTAGTGTGCACGCTAGACTAGTTATAGTAATATTATTCACATTGTAGTTAATGCTTGTATGCAATGTTTATTGCTGACTTTGCTAATTCATAAGTTAGGGCTCATGTACACTGCAGCTGCTAAACTGATGTTCAGGAGCTTTTCTGCGTTTTTTTTGGCAGCCCCTGAACTCTCCCTAATGTTTTCCTATGTGTCCATGTACACATCGTCCTTTATAGTTTTTTGCAGTTGAATTTACAGTATTTTTTTTTTAACGCAGCAAACTTGCATTCAGGAGTAGATTTTATCAGTGTTTTTTATCAGTGTGCCAAATGCTTGAAAACCCGTGTAAACGCTGCTAACCATGTTTATATGCATTTGCGTTTAGAAGCGTTTTTGACTGGTCCATATCTAGGGCACAATTCACTAAGCGGTATCCTACCGCATCCGAGTATGCGGTAGGTTACCGCATGGTATTTGTTTTTAAAAAAAAAACCATTTGAATCCACTAAAAAAGCTACTAAAATACTGTATGATTTTATCAAGTCATGCGGAATTTTAGTAGTGAAAAGCATGCATCGTGTTTCAGCTGTCAGCAGGGTTGCCAATGACAGCTGAATATAAAAGAAAGAATTGCTGGCAATTAAAAAATTATTTTAAAAAATGGCGTGGGGTCCCCCCTCCCGTCCATACCAAGCCCTTCGGGTCTGGTATGGATTTTGAGGGGAAGACCCATGCCAAAATTAGAATAAAAACGGCGTGGGTTTCCCCCCCAAAATCCATACCAGACTCTTATCCAAGCATGCAGCCTGGCAGGTCAGGAATGGGGGGGGGGGGCGAGCGAGCACGAGCGCCCTCCCCAAACCTTACTAGGTCACATGCCCTCAACATGGGGGGGTGCATTTGCCATGTTGATGGGGACAAAGGCCTATTCCCAATGACCCTGGCCAGTGGTTGTGGGGGTCTGCGGGCGGGGGACTTATCGGAATCTGGAAGCCCCCTTTAGCAAGGGGGCCTCCAGATCCCTCCCCCCCCCAACGTAGGGTACATGGTACCGCTACCCATTCACAGAAAAAAGCTGTAGTGTGGAAAAAAGACAGGAGACATTCTTTGACAAGTCCTTTAATAAAAGAATGTCCCCCATAGATCCAACGTCAATCACAATATCCGCCATCGCTCCGAAGAAATTAAAAAAAAAAAAAACGCTACGCTACCGTCGCTGTCCCCCACCCATCTGCTCAGAACCTGGTTTGACAGTTCTTAAATATGTAAGGGGTGGGACCATCACTTATGTGATCCCGCCCCCGTGTGACCTCAGTGACCAGCATGTCCTGGTCAATGATGTCACACGGGGGCGGGGTCACACGGGTGATGTCACATGGTGAGTGCCCCAATTTTAGTAAACCTCCCCCACTGTTTCTGCACCTGCCTACTGTGTGTTCATTTATGCTCAAACCACCATTTACCCTCACCTGTACCAATAAATTGGGTTCAAGTCTTGCGTCTATTTTCTGGTGCTAACTCACAGCCAAGTTAAAGGTATCAATACTCATGTTCCTGTCATTGCTTGTAGTAACTTTCATTCAACTACATGTGTCAGAATGGCTGAGGGTGTTCTTGGAGTTGAGGTGCAGAAGAGAGAACCCAAACTACCAAGCAGCTCCTGCAGGGGTAGTGCTACATCTCATTTGTTAAAAAAGGTTAAAGAAAAAGAAAATTCTATTCAAGACTATATTCTCTATTCTTAAATGACCTTCTATTTCTCTCTGTCTCCTCCACATCTCCATTAGACACACTATATTGCCAAAAGTATTGGTCGGCCTGCCTTCACACGCCCTAGAACTTTAATGGCCCCCCAGTCTTAGTAATCTTAATAGTAGTGCCGGAACAAGGACCTTCATGGGAGGATCAATAGGTGTTTTTTAATGAAAGCTGCAGATTGAAATGATTGGAAATGACTTGAACATGATAAAGCAGTTCCTCATGGGTTAAATAAGGAATTCGATTTATCATGTTTCTTGAATGATTATTAATTATTTGTCCAAGGTGGTTTACATTCAATTAGATATTAATTATTTAAATATTTTTCTTATTTTTATTTTTATTCTTAATATTTATTTTTCATTGTTTATTTCATTTTATTTACACATTTTTATTTACATTTATTAAATTTTTTATTTATATTCTATTTTATTATTTTTTATCATTTTTATTATTTATTTTTTTATTTTTTTATTTTTTTTTTTTCACTTTTTATTTTTATACATTAAATTTTGTTACATTCATTATTTCAATATATTTTATTATGAATTTCTATTCAATTTTAATTTTTTTTGTTGTAATTAATAGAGGTGGATATATAAATCATTATATGTATTAGTATATTGGATTATATACATATAATTCATTTTTAACATTGTAACTAAAGTGTATCTTAATGTTTGTAATATGTAATCGGGTGGGTCGCACACAGCATCAGTATGAGCCGTAGTTAGTAGCGATAGTCATTGTATGTATCAATTATCAAATATTTATGTATTTCGGTGCAGGAATAGACCCCAAAAACATGGCTTGCGCCCAGTAGGTATTCAACAAAATGGCGCCGTATCTCTACTATATAAGGAATTTTACTATGGTGACAGTCACACATCATCCCCCGGACGAAGCTACAAAATCCCTGTAGCGCAACGCGTTGGTGAGGGGCAGTGACGTCATCGCGCATTCTAACGAAGATACGGCAAGTACTGAAGGTGTGTGGACGCACACCGTTCGTTTTGATCTAGCTGCAAGCTGTGGGATATTGTATTTATACAAAGCGCATATGCATTTTTTTAAATGTGAGTGCAATATGGAAGCACAATAAAAGCTGTTTTACCCCTGGGATAAGGCACCATATCTTTTTTTCCTTTTCTTGCATGTAACATACGAGGAATACAAAGGCAGAGGACTAAGGAGTGGATCAAAGGAGGGAGTATCCCTCACAGTCCTGCAGTCACACAGGTTCCCAACATTACAGCAAAGACCATATCTTCACATTGAAGGAGAGTATATCCATCTAAGCTGGACATTCACTTTGCACATTGGGATATCGTGGTTGTTTTTTTCACAGACTTTTTATTATTTATATATTTTTTTAAATATTTTTTTCTTTTGTTTCTTATTTAACTATTTTTTTTTTTTCCAATCTCACTTATTAATTTATATGATGAATTTTTTTGAGGTTCACTGATGGAAGATTTGCACATTGTTATAAGGATTGCACTTTTAGTGACGTGATAATATGACATTAATTTATTTTTCATTAGTTATAATTTTATATAATTAGTTACGTTATACTATTTATTTTCATATTTTAATTTATTTATAAGCACATAGCACTTTTTGATTTACACTTTTTTGTGGATATTAGAGCGCGGTTAATATTTAAACCAATTTTTGATAAACGCACATCACATGAGAGTGGGCTCACTAACCAGCGATCTAGTACTTATACCTTCAAAATATACCTCGGTGGCTCGCAAGTTAATTTGTTTGTA